AACGCGACACGTCTGATGTGCTTGCCCGGGACATGTGACCAAAATGCAGGGATTTGTATCAAGGCGGACCATTCTGGGAGATTGGAACCGGAAACCTGGGAAAACCGGTTGCTGGAAAGAGTGAGGAGAAGTAAGCTACCAGTTTCTAAACCAACAGCCACAAGGTGTGAGTGTCGGTCAGAGGATGTATGGTGATCCGAAAGTCGGCATATATCCAGAGCAGTGACTGCTGCAGCAAACAACTTGGGTGCTATCAGCGGACGTTGGGCTTTTGGAGCTGGCTCAATAGATGAAGACGCATCCGGTGTTGGCCACACGAGGATGGTTTGATCTCGTGAACCGGAGACGAAATAGCTAAACATAGGGGGAGAGCAAATGGAGGTTACGAGATATCTGACTAAAAAGAGGGGGCTCAAAATGGACAGCACAAACTGATGTGCACACACTGCAGTACCCTCCACCACCAAACATAATCAGCCATATAAGATATTGCCTCTGGCTACCTTCAGGACAATGGAACTCCAAGAAGAACAAGAATCCGCTCGGCCTACAGCGCGTCTTAATAATAAAGAAATAGAAAAATAGAAGAACTAACCTGAAGTCCAAAAAGACTCATCGCAGTAAGCGCTAATGAAGCGTTCCTGCTCACAAAGGAAAGCAAAAACAAAGCCGACATAAATGATCAGAACATTTTAAACACCGCTTTCAAGCCGTGCCCCCAGTGGGTAGAGAATGGTGCACACCAGAATACCAGATGCCATTTATGGGTGCTGATTCATACAGTGGAAATCGGGAAAGACCACAAATACAATTCATCGTTGTACACGTGACCTTTTTAATTCCTCCAAGGCCACGACAAACTATGATAGGGGGCTTTCAGATCTTTGCTTGCATCAGAGAAACAGAAAGGAATTAGTTTCATGCGATTACTACAGAAACAACATTAGAACTATATATCAGAATTGGAATCTGCCGAGCAAACTGACAGCGACTATGGCGAGGGGGGAACCAGGATCAGTGAAATGCCGACCTATGACCTAATCCACTCTTCTTATCTCCAAATAAACCACAATTCATAAAACTGCATCGCTTGTACACAACCTATCAGTGTGTGGTGTATCGAGAAAGCTACGGTCGGATTCTGTACCATTCATGTTCATCTAGAAAGTAAACGGATTGTCTTGAAACGAATTGATAAAGTTGAGTGAAATGGCTAGATAATGCACTGAATGACAGACAGTATGGAGTGCTCGGTTCGGTTTCAGAAAGCAGGACATAATGTGCCGCGGTGATGGGTAGTAAACCATAGCTTAAAATAATTTCACAACGTACTCATTATCAGGGCTCCACGCACAAGTCCAGATGATCCGTGAATGCCCATGTCCCTTTTGAGGGTACGCCGTTAAACAATAGTTGGGTAAGGCAGCGTCAGTAACTGGCGTACCATCACAGGACCACACGCTCCATGTGCGATCTCTAGATACGGCTAGCAGGTGTCGTCCATCAAGGCTCCAGGCCATTTGAGTAACTGTCAGCTGGTGATGAACAAGACGCTGTTCAACAAAGGAAAGCCAATTAGCTTGCGTAAGACACTAAATGTACGTAAATGTTAGAGTATCTGATAGTTAATGGTTAAATGTATCCACAGTAGAGAGGAGTGGGGATCCAATCTGACATGCCTCGTTATCAGTAACAGCGATTGCCATTCAAAGGCTATGAGCATCATGACAATGATCAGGACATAAACTATTGATCCGTCTTCTTACACAACATAGGATGCCGGAAGGACGGAATAAAGTGATGGAATGAACAACAGATTCATTTATCGACTTTGTATCACTATCGAGTAGAGATAACGGAGAATACTCGCGAATGCAGGTACAAGATTCAAAAAGGGGTGTTGTGAGCAGAAAATCACAAACCGATACATCGGAAAGCATACGACGCACGTGCGAACACAGGTCCTAGGGATGGGAATACCGTCGGCTGCAGGGGTATTCTAACGACTCAACCACTGCGGGTGCCGAAACAAGCCATATATACACATTCATTCATTCATTACCGAATGTATATCAGAAATAAAAGTGACTCTTTGACAAAGTTCATTGGAAAAACGACAGTTCTGATAATTTTGAGTAATAGCTCACGTACACATTCTATTATTACTGTTACCGCGAAGAGACGGACGCCTGGAGCGGGTGACACAAGAACTCGTAACATGTCGCCTGTCAGACGAATGTCCAACCAGTCCCGGTCGACGTTACACATGCCTTTGACTGCATATTCTCGCCGGCAATTGTGCACTAAGATTCCCATTTAATACTAACCAAATAACCGTCCCTAGTTTATACCCGCCTGTCTCACATTGCTAATCGTTTTGTTTGTTCCCATAGCCTAACAAGGCTAGAAAGGCTTCACCAAATAAAAACAGCGTCCCAAAAGATTAACGCATTGCCGATCAACTCAGCTTTGTTGATCGCAATTTTATGTGTGAACCAGTGAAAGATCGAACTCGATAAACAGCTGGCGGAGGAAACTCGAAAAGTGGGTACAACCACCGGATGAGCATAGAGTTGAACTGGTTTTCCAACTCCAGGTCAAACTGCGGTGGCCTTTAATTAACAGCGGCTATCTAACCGGATTAAAGAAGGCTTGAAGTTCGAGTGTTTGAGCAAGCCAATTAAATTAGCTGTAACCGTATCAAACTGATTTACTTGGTGTAGTAGCAAACAGTGGAGAGTAGAAAGAACTAGAGGCTTGATGGACTGGTTCACGTGTCGGAATCGCTAAACACCGCTTTGTTTTTGGCCATTCTGCCCCTGTATGGAAGAAGAACAGGTTTTCCAATAACCGTAACGCTTGAATATCAGCGTACCGATCCATTTCATCCTAGGAAATTCCGTTAATATCACTTCACCAGCTTCTTCATAAGTGATATTGAACATCACCCTGACTCGACGTCAGACGATGTGCTAGGTGACAGCTTGCTATCATATATAGTCTGGTTTTAAGTGTGTATTTAAGCTTTACTTGACACCCATGCACCAACTTTGAGCTAAATGTTCGGCTGTTGTTTTTGATGTGATACCAGTGATTTTCCACCGTTGATACCAAATTTACAAATGAGCGCAAGTCACCAATCGGAATTCAGCGGTTCACCACGAATACTAGGCGAACGTAACCACTGAATTATACTCAAAGCGGTCGAACTCTGGGGATAGAATGCCATCGATAAAGGGAGTAGCGAAGATAGGTTGGGACGCGTGATAACGAAACGAGAGTTGCCAGCGGCCAGAAACCGTAATAAAAGCTTCGTTTGGAATACGCCAGACAGTAATAACCGAGAGAAGAACATGAACTACATTTTTTGGCTAGACAGCTACTACCGATTACTCAAGCTTTTACAATTCACAGAAATTGCGGGTATGCAGCTGTCAGATTCGGTGGTCCATAAAAACCCAGCGAGTCGAGTATCTGTTTCTGCTTATGGTTTTCTGTCTCAGTTGGAACGGCTCCTTGCATCACGAATGAAACGGGTTACGTGGACTTGAATGCATGCCGACGTCCGTTGCTTCTAAGATTTTTCACACTGAAGACCACCTATGTCCGGTTCGGCTATATTCTTGTAAATTCCCCACTAAACAAGTGAATTGTTCCCTAAAAGGTGCATGCACTGGACGACAGCTAATTTGGAATGAGTTGGCTTCCGATTCAGGATTAATATGCTACACTGAACTACATCGATGATCCTCCGAACGGAATACCTACAGTTCGCACTGAGTTGCTTGTGAAGTCAACTAAATACTGCTGGGCGACGCCAACAGAATGCAATAAGACGAATGGTGACTAAAAAAGGCAGCTAAAAAAGGTTGGAAACCGGTCTAGTCTAAGCAGTTTGACTTTCTTCAAAACATGGATCAATTTTGAAACTTGGCCTATCGTATTGCTTTCCGCGAACTCGAACGAAAGATAAACCGCTTGTACACAAGTGCGTTTACGAACGGTTGGCTGCTTCTTAAAGGGACCATTCCAAAAGTATGGTACATCATATATTTGAGGAGACAATTTTGAAGCAGAAAGTCCACACTGTGGCTGGTCATTCCACGATAGCCAGTAACCACAAGTGCCTTAGGCATCCTGAGTGGTCAGTTAGATTCCAGAGGGACGCGGTAAATGAACTATTATCCATCAGCTCACAGTGAACACACTAAACGCCAGCTCCCGGCTCTTTGATACATAGATTTTTTTAATAGATGAATAAACTGATTGATTTGTCCTTTTTGTAAAGACCGACCTTTTGCACATATGTGCGATATATGGTTGCCCATACATTAACACGGTAAGCATGCTTATACGACAAAAAGCGATAGGAAAGACAAAGAAAAGCAAATAGATAAGCACGTCGGGTGACTTCTAATACACTGATACGATGACTTCCGTTGAAGGCCCACCTGATGGATAGTCCAATCGGACATTCCGTTCCATAAGATAATGTAGGCGTGGATTTGTTTGCTGGCCACGCAAGCGGATGCAACCAACCGACGATTGGGATGTGCAGCTAGCGAGTAAACCTGGAAAAAGAGCGACAAGCGTAGCATGAAGAATTAACGAACATTCACCAGTTCCTGTAAAACTCCCGGCTCAGCCGAAACCAAGTGTCATTGTCTGGCCCGCCTGAGTAGTAACAATAATAACTGTTCAGTTGTAGCGCCCTTTTGGGTGCTCACCTGCCATGCCGAACGAAGGAAGCTAGAAGGCTGGGATACTGCCAGGTTGTCCAAGCCTAGACAGGAGAAGTCGAGATGCACAAGTCGGGTTCTGAGTACGGACATTCCGGTTAGTAGATTCGCACGCTAACCACTGAGCTATCTCGCCCCGCATAAAACAATCAGTTTAGTTGAGAATTGTATTGTTTAGCGTTTATTTCCGTCAACCATATAAGTAATCGTTCGCATCAGATGTAGGATGAATTACAAACATCAAGAAATCTTCCTATGGGTATCTGCACATCACTATTACCGTGACGGTTGTCCTAAGTTGATTATTCTCAGGGTCGATAGAAAGCTGAGTGAATGGTACACATAAGTATGTTTACTATTAAATGAACGGGCTACCGAATTAGGTGATGAACAACAGCGCGGCTGCTTGTGTGCGGGGTGAGGTCTCACATAACATTCTCCGGTGTTCCGTTTACAAAGGTTGGGACGAGTGTTTTGGATTAACCATCGATTGTAGAACAAACTAACGCGAACTGTGGAGGTCTACAATCACATGTCTGCACCTGATATCCTCCCTATCCGATGTTGTCCACAGCTGATGCATAGGTCATTCGACGTGTTGCCTTTCTGAAGCGTTCAGGAACTAATTGAGCAGCCAAATTTTAGTATAAAAAATGCGCTTATTGTGAGCCTCGATGGTGAGATCAGCAAACCACTGTAGCAAACGGGACTAAGTGAGACAGCTAGCTTCAGTCTGGGAACTAATTGTGCAGCCAAATTTTAGCATAAAAAATCCACTTATTGTGAGCCTTGATGGTGAGATCAGCAAACCACTGTAGCGAATGGGACTAAGTGAGACAGCTAGCTTCAGTCTTCCGCTCAAACGGACTACACTGATCTCACATCTCAAGAAAAAAGAATTCGGGACGATTAATACAGGAAAAGTCCACAACAGCACCCAGTGTTTACAACTCACGAACTGACTACCGCGCATCGCAGCAAAAGTCCTATATTCTAATTCCCCGTAGTGGCCTATTTCGTAGGTGTAGCCTATCTTTCTGCGCTCACATTAAAAGGTAAACATGAGTGAACATGACTAAATAAGTTCAGCTAACACCGAAATGAAACATTTTCATCCTCGAGGAGAGAACATAAATGTTTTCGTAGTATACAACCTATGAAACAAAAAATAGGAGAAAAAGCGAAAAACGGGTAATAGGAGTTGCGTTCGTTCCCTCCCCAGTTTAGTTCGCTTTCCCACTGACGAAGCGAAGTTAACACTAAAGTTGATGGTGACTGCTCAGCTGTCTGAGAAACATCGTGCGAAGAATATCGGAACGCACTGTTCGTGCTTCATCGTGGCGCGTAAACTATATTTTTTTGGAATGTTCAAAACATTCTGGGAGGGCGAACCGATACTAAAACAAACGCCATACGCTGTGTTGTTTCTATTAAGTTCACCTACCTCATATGGGTGTCCGTAGAGTTTCTTTGTTTCTGGCCACAAGGTCGCATGTTGCAAGCGATCCTCGGTTGGAATTGAAATAGCACCCTGAAACAAGGAAGGCGGTTTGGGTTAAAATAAATGAGCGCCGCTGTGGTGAACAAAGACTATCTAAAAGCATTGCTCAAAGAACGGGGACTTGATAGAATTTCTAGAAGTGCGTAAATACACATTACACGGTTGATCATTTATAGAGGAGAGGAAAATCAATAGGACCACAAACAACAAGGAATGGCATGGAAGATCACGTTCTAATGATAAAAATTGTCGTTCTCCGATTTCTGAGTGAAGGAAACACTTGTGGCCCTGAATATAAATCATTAACGTTGGGAAAAATTCCACAATCCGAGAACAACCGATCTACAAATGAGGCATGGCTCATAGGGGACCAAAAGCAAAAGAGAGACAAATCCGGGAAGTGGATAAAAATCAATAGGATACAGAGGCGAAGATTTGTATGTGTGCTTTCATCATCGCCCAGAGTTCATGAGGTAGAGTATTGTCAACGACAAACTGCTGTGAGAAAAGACACGTGAATTCTGAAGGTCGGACAATAAGAAGAAATATTACGTAAGGAAGTGTACAACATTTTTTGTGCTCAGACGTCTTGCCAAAGTTAGAAGGATGAACGGGAGGGTAAATTTTAAAGATAACTAGATATCAAGTTAAGATGTCCTTGGAGAGACGCACGAACTTTCGGACTTCATTTTGGAGTTTGAACACTCGTTGAGAAAATGTAAGCTTAGCCCTTTGTGAAAATACTTACGGTTATTACTGAGACAAGAAAAAGGCATGAAGCTGGACCAAACGGCCCATCTGAGAACAGTGTAACCAGAATAAGTTTATGATACCAGTGTACTGCTTTCAACGGTGCTTGTTCGAACCCCTAAGGTGAGAAAACGCAGTGCTTTAACCCGATTTTATCAACCCTTCGTGTTGAATCGCCAATCACAACTCGATAACTCGGATCGTGCTGCGTGTGCGAGGTCGATTGGTCTTTCTGCTCCAGCAGTGAGTGACCTCATTTACAGAATGAGAAAACTTCTCCCAAGCAGATTCTCTCATAAACCTCTGGCTTACCAATTAGCATCATCACTGAGAGCCTGAGAATGTGTGAAAGAGATATTCTTGAGTACGACTGACTGAATTGGTTATTCACTAATACAACACACGAAAGCTACGATTCGTGAGTTTTCTGTTCGATTTGTGAATCAAATATGGTTGTGAATGAGTTCGGCGCATCAAAATCCGTGATAAAATGTGGGCGCATATATCATCGGAAGTTCCGAAGCAAATGACTGATGAGAACCTACCAACACTCTAACCTGTACTAGTCAGATCCATCAAAATACCTGGAGGTCCACATCACAACTTCATTTGGCGAGCCTAGTGAAAAAAAGCTAGAAGCCAGCTGTACGCGAAGGTCACGTGCATTTCTCGAAATATTAACCTTTCAAAACTGCTGAATAGTCACTAGCCATGAAACAGGATACCTAACCCATATACAGACGTTTAACGCAATATCTTCTCTCTCCCTCTCTCTACTACAGCTGGTTACACAGCAATAATCAAACTGGATAAAGAATCTTCAAGAATAGCACTTCCACAAACCAAACCTACAATGTGTAACGGTGCGTCCCCATGTTCAGTAGGAATCGTGCTATCAACTTCAGCTCCGTTGAAACTAACGGAACCAGATTCCGAACCGGTCATCTGGTTTGACAGACCAAGGGTTGGCTGTATGGCACCTAGATAATTGGAGAATACAAGGAACGATGTTATGACAAGAGTAATGTCTGTCCTCGAAAGTGTTTCTTCATGCTGTAGTGACTGGACCAGTTTGGAGTGACTTTACGAGCAACCAAGTGCTGATAACCAATGTCCCGAAAAGTGGAGAATATAAAGTACATTTGTCGCAGAAAATGCATGGACTGGTGGGGGCGACTGTCAAGCAGCGAAATTAAACATGTATCACCGTCAATATAAAAACCAGGCGACACCGACACCAGGCAACGGCTCATAGAAAAATCTCTCGATAAAATTCAAAACTTTGGACGGATGGTGTTGTGCTTAGCAGATTCAAAGGATGCACTTTCGTTTGGTTGAAACTATGGAGATCCGTGGTGTGCATGTGCACAACGACGAGGAAGAAAACAGCAAGGGTAAGTTAGTCTGAGCGCTCTCATGCATCGATCGTCGTGAAAAATGTGCAGGTTTTACGAACGCTGACGCACACAAAAGCGGTGAGCGGCCACAAGGCCAACCAATCACGTGCAACCGTCTATCGGTTTTCCAAACTAGGCCAATAATCACGGTCCGGGGAATGTTAATCTACAGCAACGCGAGCTGATAAAGTACAAAGTTGCGAATACACTATACAGAAACAAGGAGAAAGTTCGTCTATTGGTGTAGCACTGTTGCCGATGAGGCCATTTACGCCTGGTGGTGCAACTCGTTCGTTGAGTGGAACGGCGCACTCACCAAGAAAGTGGACAAGCATACAAGGCACAGTCAGCGATCGATGCCCTGCATATTAGGCCATGGAGGAGGAAAAACTCAAGATACCCCTTACTTAACAAACTCGTTTACAGACCACGACCGGCTACATTGTTATTGTGGCTCATCAGGTAACCGTAGTCCTGAGTTCTCGTCCATCTTATGTTCCGCTTGAACCCGAATTAGATGCGGTTTACAGACTAATTTGGCATAACGGGAGAATTTCAGCTGAGCCATTCGTTTACGACATTCTTTAAATAAGTTTGTTTAGCAAAAGCTTCCTTACCTTCAGCCAGGGCTTCTACTGGTTGCTCCGAAATGTAACAATCTGCGAGTGAGTAGCCTTCAAGACCGATAGCGTCTTGATAGGATTCGACAAATGCGCGTGTTGCAGTGAATACGCGCGCCACCTTCTCGTCTCCGGCTGACACGTAACCGATGGTAGATAGACTGCAAATCGCATTCATATCGTAGCCGTGTACCTGTGGTCTGGCTAATTCATGCCATACCCAACCTTGATGAACATAAAAAACAGGGATGGAAACCTATGGCATAAGTGTCAGCATAAACTGAGACCACAAGTGAATGTCGCTGTAGATATTGAGTTCACAAGGCAGTTTTTAGGCAAATACAACATCCACTACATCACTGCCTAATCAAACTTGCTGCAAAGCGAACTAAAAGCAAAACTCTGGCCTAGTGGGCTTGCACACAAGTTAACGGTGACTATCCGTATGTTTCTGAATCCAACTCTGAACTCTTATGTCATCTTAAGGCTACATACGTATGAGGATAACTTGAAAACATTCACACAGGGATGAGTTGGTAAGGCGGATAAGCAACAGGAGAGGAACAACGCAGACCAACAACCGATCGCTTCACTTTGCATTTATCGTTGTTGGCACACTGGCCAACAGTTAATGGAATGGCTTCCTGAAATTCAACGATTTACAGGTACATCGCGACGGTTTGAAACTTTTGTAGGTGATTCATCAAAATCCTTTTTCTACCTGAGGAAACAGAAGATCGGATAAGTGGTGTGCATTTCTTGTAGCAGGAGGGCCAGAAGTTGTGTTCGGATTCTAGTTACACGTACTAAATCCATATTTGATCGACCCACCAGCAAGCTTATTTATTCTCAAAATGTCAGCCAAATCAATCTGTTCCAATACGAGGCTCACAGCTCTGGTTCATTGTTCCACAGAAGGGTGCCTCTCATCAAATAGCTTCCACCTGGTTGTGTGTGGTTGATAATTGAGTGTTCCTCTCCTTTGTCTGTAGCTTACAACTATATGTGGAATGAAAAGGTTTCACTGAGACGCTTTATTATCCAATGGTCACATTAAAAACTGTTCAGCTGTAACACCCTTTGGTGCCTAACTGCAGTGCTCTCCCCCCACCCCGAAGGAGTGGATACTGCCACGTTGCCCAAGCCTAGACAGGGGAAGTCGAGCGGCAAAAGTCAGGTTCGAACCACGAACCTTCCGGTCAACAAATTCGAGCTCTAACTACTTGAACCATCTCGCCCCCCTGAATGGCCACAAGTGTCATGCTTTTTGCTGCAAATATAATAATATATGTAACTCGATGAATACCGTAAAGGCTGCTTCTACAAGCATACCTGCTGTTCCAATATCTTCAAAAATAACCGAAAACCGTTGGTATTATGAGGTAAGGACAGAATCCTGCGAAAGATGCAACCACCGCCAACCAGCTAAGCAGCGGAGTGTGACTAGCTCATTTGTGTTTGAGTTGTCTCCTGCGAAAACCGCCTGCCAACATTTTCTACCATACTCTTGTCACGGACCTGAAAGTCCCCGTAATCTGTCAGCCTGTGGGAGGTATGCCGGAGTACGTTTTGGACGACAGACACCATGGTGAGTTTCACAAGTGGGTTGTACTGGAATTACACCGGAAGCACTCTTATCCCTTGGTATTCTGTCTTGGTTCTATAGTATGTACATCAAAACCTTAAAAAGCAAGCCATCGCAAGCTATTCACACCTGGTACATGTTCATGTCTGAGAACCAGAAAACCGCACGATGGCGAGTGTTAGAAGTCGATTCCTGGTTATTCAGCGCCTCTAGTGATCGGTGGACGGGGGTTGCATAAGCTGTTCCTCAAAATGTTCAACCAACCGCTGCAGGTGGACCTGGAGAGTGAGCTGCAGGTCCATTATTTTGAAAATGGTTTCGTTTGTATCGAGTTTATTCCGCTCTGTTGAGCAGCGCTGCTGAAACCAAGTGCAACAATTGCTCGTATGCCACTATCGAGTGGTACTGTCATACTGTAACTATTTTGTTTTCTGTATTTCGAATATCTACCAATGCCGCTACGGCGACTGGTCGGTAGTGTCTTTTCTGACACCAACAAGAACTGTTGATCACGAAAACGCAAAACAATAACTTTCTTAACAATAAATTTCTTCACAATGCACCACTATGCTCGCAAACAATTACTCCCAACAGTTCGTGAAGCGAAAATCATAAAACAGCCCAGTCCGCCTCAGGAACTTCGCTGAATTTGATGGAATGGTTTGTCCCATGTCATCCAATGTGTCCAATGTGGATGGAAGTTGAAATGATTTTTGTAACAATGCGCTGTTGCGATCAGAACTGAGATGCATACTACTCAGAACGACAATCTGGAAATGAGCATATCCATCGGTGAGCAATTACCACAAGATCCAAATAAGTTGGTGGTCCCTGACGCACCGAATGCGCTTCTCGATACGTTCTGAGGTACTCACTGCAATGGACCATCAATCTGATAAAACGGATCTACAGGTTTCCCTATAGGACGTTGAAAGTCAATTCACTAGAGGAAAGCCAAGAATAGGACGAGTTCCACTTGCTTACCCTGTTCACTTTTCCATCCTCCCGGCATCATTTACCCTTACCAAACTAATGACAGTGGTTTCCTTACGAATGTCCTACGTTAGCTCATCGGCTCTTCAGACTTGACCGATATTTCGGTTGGTATCGATTGGTTTCTACATTAGTGGTATTTAATAGCGAGAACTTAAACGGGAAAGCTCTTTCTTATCTTCAAGATGTATCACTGCTGTTTATTATTCGGTACCTGCCTGTGTGCGAATGTGAGGGAGGAGAATCAATTACCGCGATTCACCCAAAAATGAGGACTGTCAAACGCACGCCGTTGGATGAAGGCAGATGCGCGACAAAGGCATTCAAGTGTGTACGATTTACCTAGGGTGTTCCTCGATTTGAAAGTAGGATATGACTCCTCCATCAGATCTTAGAGAAGTTACACAGCACGTTAGGTCAGACAGCAAAGGTTGAGTGGAGTGGTTTGCGGAACTGGTGAATCTCATCAACGAATCTCGCATATCGTAACGAAAGGAAGCTAACAATTAGCCTACTAGCAAATATTCAGTAGGCAAAATGCACGCTGGATGAGGGTACCTGACACCAAAGGCAAAGGGTGGATGGTCTCGGATGATCACGAGTGAAAATGCGAAGCAAGAGAAACCTGATATCCAGAGACCACGTGAAATGGAAAAGTTACGCCCCAATATCACGAATTTCTGGTGCTCCTTGGGATTCTTTATGAATGTAGATTTGTACGCTGAGAACGAAATACTCTTCTCGGTCAGCCCACGGGCATACACCTTCGGAGAGATTCATTAGGTTTACGCCTAGGCAGTCACGGCTGACGGAAAGGTGGCAAAATTAGACCTTTTTGGTATGACGCAGGCGCCTGGACATTATATCAGGCAGAAAAGATAGGTAGTTATGTGAGTGGGATGGAAGTTCACATTTCACATATTCCTTCAGGACTTTGATCTCCGCCTAGTTTAGTGGTTCTTCCTCGAAAGTTGTACTTGCAACATAAGGTGATGAACGGGAATCAGTGAACTGTCGCGGATGAACTGCCATGCGCATGCCAAAACTTTCAAGTGGCTTTTTACATGAGGCCAGTGTCTTTTCTTCAGTCATCGGGGTGTCTTAATCCTCCTAATCCAAAATGGCTTGTATACGGAAGCACTGCGTTGGGATGTAGACACTGATGCGTGCAATTAAACATCAGGTAATGAGTCCGAGACCGTGAGGAAGAAATCCACTATAAAAGAGCTTTATCTATGGGGACTTGTAGGGTACACCGAGCATAGGTACTACGTACCAAACCTGGGGTATCTCGTACATCCAAACAGTCCCACCTAATATATAGGGGATGATTATCCATAACACAGGTGGGTTGCTATGAGTTACGTTTAAATCAAGCCAAATGACTCTTACCAGATGTTTCAGGAATTAAAAGTAAATGTAGGCGATGGATGTGGAAGGGTTACAGGAGAAGATTGGATAAAAAAGAGGTATCTCATTCAAAGTTATGCCACTAGGCGATTCCACTCAGACAGAACGTATGTAAAAGTGCTTGGTATGGAAGGACGTGTGTAAAGACAAACAACCGAGGAAAAGACAGAGATTCAATGGCAAGAATGTACACTCAGCGCTATGTACAACACATAAAAATGTCGTAAGTACGCAGAGAGCCCACAATGGCAAGTAAACACAAGTCATTTACTGTACCCTTAGGGAGTCCCAGTCCAATAATAGCCTTGGTTGATTGAGGAAAGTAGATTCCTCGATAAGAAATGATTATCGGTTGGCGAACCAAAAAGTCGACATCATAATTGACTGCACGTAGGACTGAGATTATGACGAGGGAGTATTTATCAGCGTCATTCTTCTGTTTCCTCTCAATCCACACAGTCACTCCGCGCCCACCCTAAACTATGCTTACGTCTATCACAGTTGTTCGGCGCTTTCGAGCAGCAGTTAGATCAGGCTGGATGAAAGACGTCAACGTAGATGCTCTTAATTTCTCGAAGACGGTGTAACCCAGGCGACGAAGTTTCACGAGTTCCCTTGCGACCCCATTATGACCAGCGCATCTAGCATCATGCGTGATCCAGTAGAAATGCAAAATATGCACCAAACTGGCCACAGAAGACCGTCTGGCCACCATGATCACGCCGAGCGTTTCTAACTCTCGTCCTGAGCAGGCTGTATCGGAGCTGGATACCGCAGACAAATATCCGAGTAGACACTCGTTCTGGAAATACAAGCCATCGATTCGAAAGAGGCGAAGCGACCAACTACTACCAATACTACTATTCGTCTTTGCTACAGGAGCTCAAAAAACTGAAATGCTCGAATGAGGGGGAACTTCATGGCCTCTGTTGAGGGGTCGATCCGAATTTAGGAGTCATCGTAACTATTTCGCAGTAGGCTGTAATTCATCTACATTGACGCTTCCGGCTGACTTTAGTACAAAAGATTGGACGATGAACTAATTCCACAGGTAGGGTATTTCTCTACGTAATCGTAATGGAAACGCTTCATGAAACGACTGCCGACAGGTCACTCCGGGAGATCGGACGTATATTTATACGTCAAGAACAGAGGACAATAAGTCACACACAAAATGAACAGCGTTCACAGAAAAATGGAAAACTCTGAGATTACCTTCTTTCGCCTTATCCCCAGTCAGCTGAGAAACGTCACCGGTGGCGACTGACAGCCTTCGTGGAGTATGAACTCGAACCGTTTGATCACTGCCAGTTGTCAGCAGATAGGTGGGCGTAACTGAGCGGTTCTTTTCAATTAAACACTTGTCGCTGACCTTTTTCTTGGACCAAGCTATATCGGTCACCGATCCAGAATGACCACAAATCGGGAGCCCAGGAGACCAAAAGGACTTATCAGCAGAAAAGTGCCACACAGAAAGACTGCCCTGAAAACAAAGACACAATAATCAGAAAATAGTTCAATTACACAGGTGAGCTCTAGAATTCCTCATCTAGGACGATTTCATGAATTAGTTCGAAACATAGTGCCGTGTATCACGAAGTGTTCAAACCAGAAATATTGACTTATCCCTTAAACGACCAAACCAGAAAATATTAAAACTTTCGGGAAAAAAACAAACATAAGCTTTGCCTTGGTATAAAACAGACGACAGTTGGATTGGCAGAAAACGCATACCAATCGAATGACTACCAGCAGAAGTCACAGTCTACCAGGGCCTTCGAATACAGATTTGTTTATAAATGGAGTTGTGAAAAACAACCGTAGTGAATACCTCAGTATTAACAGGCTGAGAACAGAACCTACGTGTGTTTCCAATATTATCTATAAAGACTGGTGAGACTTTTGGACAGCTCACTTCTGTCACCACCCCGAAAATCGATCAAGAAGGGCCTTTGATTCGGAATCGCCTCTTACCCCCAAGACTACTGAATTTGCCCTTCACAAGGCCCATTAGGTAGGTCTGGTCCACGAATATCTGTCAAGTTGATTTATTATTCTGTGTATTTTACCTGAGAAACGGACACCTTCAGTTCTGACTCACCTGGAAGTTTTGTGCACATATGGTGCTCGGATCAGACAAGAGCCAGAATCCATCCATAAAACCCATGCCCGCTCCTCCCAAGTTACCAAGTCGAGCCCCTTCAAGCCATATATGAACGTTTCCACCGGTTGATTGCGGTGGAGACCAAACAATCAACGACTTATCCATGCTTGAAGAAAGAAGTGGCGGAGGGAAACGACTGTCTTCGGGAGACCAGGCTACCCCTGTTACCCAGTTGTCATGGCCAGATAATACACTTTCCGAGGCGATAGAAAGAGTAAATTCCGCTGGTTTGCCCTCCGAAGGGAGATTTAGATCACAAATCTGGTAAACATGATTGAAGAATGAAAGATAAAGTGGCATCATATGTACGTAGCACTTGTTAGAAATGATACCAGAAAACAAAACAAAAGCAAGAGTAGATACGTTGCTCACTTCGGGTAGCATGGTAGATAGGTACCGCAAGAAGATCACAGCTAGACCACCACCATCATCAATCATCATCATCATCCTTGCATGACAAACCCAGGTTATGCGCTTCTCCCAAGACATAGTGGTTGCACAAAATAGTAGTGGGCGAACGCTGAGACTGAAAGCAAGAGCCAGTCTTTCTAAACATGAATCACCTGAACTGAATATGTAGAATCTTATTTGCAACTAATTTTATTGTTAGGGCACTGAAAAGGGTGAGCTCATACAATGCGGACGCAGCCTCACGAACATTGCTGGTTTGAAGAGAGTGTCACATCGCGGCTAATTCTCACTGAAACACGCCAATAAGCACCACTTTCAGCAAAACATTAGCCGATGTGAATATTGTTAGTTGTGTATGTCATGGTTGCACGAGTTCTGGGATGCTGCCGGGTCACCCACACCTAGACAGGAGGACGATTAGGGTCCTCAACCAAAGCCTCTGACTCAAAAGCCTAACCGCAAGGCAGCAGTGTTCGACTGGAAATGCAAGTACATCACCATTTTTTTACGGGACACCTCGCCATACACGTTCCAACCTCCAACCTGGAGGGCTAGGAGACTGTGTTCGTCGGACCTCTACCCATGAACCAACCTGTGAGTATCGTGCGAACACTCCCCAATATAGCTCAATGGGTCGCCGAGGTACACAAACCGCCACACCGCGGTAAGGTCCAGTCTCTTCGTGACATTAGCCCTCTGAAATCAACGAGGTGTCTCCTACTAATAACCAGCGACAGACAACAGATCACTTAACTGAGTTGGGCCGTCATGCACAGACAGATGAATACAGTCTGGAATGAGCATATTGTACTGCAGCAGGCACACCGAGTGCTTAAACACAACTGGACGATATTGCTGCTATTTGTCAGTGATGAAAGGAATTGCAAGTTAACATTAGAAGGACCACATCACCACATTTGGTTGAAATCGAGCAGTGAACTGAGGTATATCTCTCAAACCGTTGTATTTAGTCACAGAAAATTTCGTGACCTTTCTCGGTGTTTTTTCAACAGTACTGACAAATTAAAATTCACATATGTCACTGTTTCTCCGTGGCACTTTTTGTGAAAAACAAACTCTGCTACAAACAACTATGATCAGGTTGGACAACAGCTACATCACCTGACACTCGCAACCATATGTGACTAGCGGCGCAAAATTTCGCTCAGAGAATATTCGCCTCGGTGGGTCAAACCAACGGGGACAGGATTTTTTCGGTTGCAACGGCCATATGCGACGAAGCCTGGGCACCCTGAAAGCTTCGTCTCCCTGGAAGTTAAATGAAGCCCAATGCAAGAACAAGGCTATAAAGATTGTTCGGAAAGTACGACGGCGGATGAAATACAATTTTTTCATGAATATGTTTACAGGGAACGGCTTTCCCAGAAAGTTGACTCGATCACACAAAGTTGTTTATAAAACCAACCATGCCCAAATTTCCCGGTAAGAATCAGCAGATTCTCGCTCTAGCTTGTGAAACGTAAACTGAAACTGCAGTGAAGTAGCGCAATCGTGGCACACTGTTCAAAATGAACGTACCTTTGCTCCGGACGAGTGCTTTGAAATATCAATAACTGGTGAGCTTTGGAAAATATTCCATAATCGGATGACATTATCCTGACTGCCAGTAGCCAAATACAGAGATGTTGTACATTCAAAGCTGTTTTGTGTGGCGTCCAAACACCGAACCCAATCAGTGTGCCCAGAAAGAACAGCGGAACAAGTTAACTGATCGAAGGTTTCCTTTTGGGTCTCAGTGAGATATTCAGAGTAGATTTCTGTTTTTCCACTGTCAAGACCAACAAATACAAAATGAATAGGCTTCACAGATGGATGCATCCACAGACACGTTCGAAGACAGAGACACATGGACGGAAACCGGTTGGTGGCACGATGTGATAAGACAACAGGACTGATTTCCTGAGTTCTGTGTAGTCCGATGTGCCACGTATACATCGATGTATCGGCTGCAACGTCTAAGATCAAAACATCATCTATGCCTTGGTAGCCTTCAGTGCACGAAGAGGAATGCGCAATCAAACCGTCCAAAGCATTGGCGGAAAGACTTCCAGGTAATGACACCTCAAGTATAAGGGACCAATCGCCAGCAGCACTGCACCAAGGCTCAGTGATGACGGATTCTTTTTTACAAGCCCAAATTTTTATATTGCCTGTATTATCGGCAGATGCCAGAACCAGGTAGGGGACGGGGAAGTCTTTCGAAACGTGGGTCATCCATCGCAGGCAAGTGACGGGGCTGTTGTGGCCAAGTAACATACGGAGTATACGAAAGCCATCGTCACATTCTCTTCGGCCGGCTTCAATAGTTCGTGCAAGACAAATTGCATGACTTGCTCCAAAGGCTAGTAGATTTCCAGAAACTTTATGGTGTGCATCAATGGAGACCGCATGAGTACAGCCCGAACGCCGGTTAACACAAGCCGAAGTATATGGACAAAGAATCAGATCTGTGAGTTCACTCGAGCAGCACGAGTTTGCGTCATTAGTTTTTGGTGAGACAGAAGAATTCATTGGACAGGTGGGCTGAAAAACGAAGGGAGACTTTAGCGAAGCACGTCCTACCAGTCAACACGACAGATGTTCTACAAATATTCTAGCATACAGCGACAAAAATTTGAAACTGACAAATGCAATCATCTGCACATCAATTTATCATGGGGGACTCACTGCATCTCTCATTTATGATATTATTCAACTTAATGTGCTACATAAAGGATATCTCGTGTTTGAGTTGGTAGGATATTCGAGATATCGCAGTATAATATCATAAAAGAGACCACTCAAAAGGTTGTTAAAGATCTTTCAGTTTCTCGTTTAAAATTCCACCATATACGTCACTAGACAAACCGCACACAGACAGGCATCTAATCAAGCAAGTACCCCTCGCCAAGTGACTCAGAATAGTCCCTACCCTTGCAAACTCTGTCACAGAAGCCTCTGGATTGCCAGAGGTGCGCATCAGGGAGCTAGAGGAGGAGGACGAAGCAGTTAGCTCAACGACTGTGCTTGGATCTTAAATTCTTGCTTCTTATATGCCGCAAACATCAGTATCAAGCAAATCTAGTGTGCGAGCAAAAACAGTCTGCTGTCTCGCTTGCTTCAATAAGCGAACAACGGTGATGGTTACACAAATCCGGCGTCGAGGCTCGGAGTTCAATTTATTTATGCCTTAGGCTACAGTGCCAACTGATGCGCAGATACCGCGGATAGGGTTGATGCAGGATAAACAGGATTGTCGGTCCTAAAGGTTGAAACTAAAAGAAAAGTAGCAATTACGGAGTGGGGGAACGGAGAAAAATTATGTAAAAGAGAAAGAACGCCAGTAGTCGCTTATTTCTTCCTACCCGCAATCCCACACGCAGCAAGCAGGTCGACCTGGCTGATGACACCACGCGATTCCCGACGCTACACGAGGTTAGTTCCAATTGTGAGAACCGTGTTTGCAGGCAGACCTAGGTACTACCAGGGTGCACAAGCATAGTGCAGAACGACTAGGATCCTCAACCAAGGACCTTTGCTCAAACACCTGATCGCAAGGGAGCAGTGGTTGGCGAGAAAGAACAGACGTCTCAACGCCCAACACGGAGGGGCAGGAAATTGTTGGCCAGACACCTAAACACTGAATGTGAGAGACTGCGAGTACCACACAGAAAACCGACTGAATAAGCTGGTATGAGAGACTGCGAGTACCACACAGAAAACCCCAAACAAGTAAAGTTCAGTGGGTCACGGAAAAGCGGAGGTTGTCACGTAATGGTCCAGTCTCTTCGTGGCGGTTGCTGTGGAAAAATACATTCTGCGTTTAACTTAATTCTGCAAGAAGAGAAAAGGCCCCTAGATGTCCTAAAAATAGTGCCTCAAGAACCGTCACCGGTAGCATAGTTATCGGCCACAGGTTTTTTGCACGGATTAGCGTATTCATATGTTAGATTCCCTTCAGAACGATGATGAGTGGGGTACCGGTAGACAACAACTACCGATGCTGCCGGTCAGGGCTTCTGTAACTTGTGACCCAGTCATCGAATGACCACCGCTTATTTCCAGCTCGGTTTGGTCTCTGTCAAGAACATTCAGTGTGAAAACCTCTGCCTTATTATTCCAAAAAAACAGGACCTAGCCAGAAAAAATGGTTTATGTCCGGCAGATCGGTTGTTCGGCTCACATTGGTTCTTTGCCAAATATACACTATCCCAAATGTATACTATCTCAGTGCTTACCATATCGGTTAGATTGATAAAATCCAACTGATACGGGTAGTGTTCGGAATCTGAGTCTGTTGGTACCGTCTCCGAACCTCAGACAATCGACTTCACACAACCAACACAAGCTTTGTTTCTGGTCGACAGCTACAATCGGCGAAGCGCAACAAAAACACAGTGGGCTATTTGATCCGTCGTATAAAGACAAGATGAAACACCTCCCAAGTGGACGAGCCCAACGACAATCACGGACAGAGTATCTGCTACGCATAGCATGAGTATTCCCGACCAAGTCTCGTAGTATAACTGAGCACTGAGGGGGCAAAAACGCATTGATTGATACTGTTTTCAATCGGAAGTGCAAAAAACTACGACAGGGCAGGCCAACTGCATCCTGAAGGTCTGCCAGAAAAACATCTAGGTGAAGCTCTATTCCCATGGATTCAAATTTTGTCGTTAAAGACGATGCAACAGAGTAGGAAAAGAATCAGACGACTGTGGTGGACCACAGTGGACCTGAAGGATACACGAGAGGGTATTCGTTATATCATCACTCTACTCCCTGAACGGGTAAATAGTGCTCTATAAAAATGAACCTACATATTTGGCATTTCTTATACAGTTCCGTGGGATGCTTCGATCGATTGAACAAAAGGTAGTTAGCGTCACAACTATTCTACCTGCCGGCCAGCTGAAACTCCAAATTAGTCAGTTAACAAGACCAGATAGCGGCATTGACCAAAATGGCTGTCTGAATTTTAGTTTTTCGGTGAATTACATTGGCAAAACTAAGAGAGACCGTTTAAGACACTCAAAACCTGCCCTACCCCCCCCCCCCCAATTCAACTCCACAAATACCCGGCCCGTTTATTTCAAGCTTCGCTCCAAACATCACCCCTTATGTTACTAACTCAGGTGCCTGAAGAATATGCATTGCTTTGTTTCATCGGTAACCTACGCATCAACTAATAATCACGGTATCCCTTGGTTCCCATGAATCTCTAGAGAGACGATTTTTTCTACCCTATTTTGGCTAGAGTTCTTTACCATTAGATTTTGCAAACAATTTCAGTGCTCTCTGTTTCAACATTTTCAACATTTCCACATTTCCAAAACCTATCCCGGAACTACTGTTCCAACTTCACACGGAGCCATCATAATTTCATATGCCTGCCGGCTGTCCTGTTCCAACACTGCTGTCTACATGAGTCAAGGCGGCGATAAACGTAAGTTAACATCCACAATCCGCAGCAAAAAGTAATCATCCCACGAAACGACGTAAGTGAGTGACTTCATCCTGAACCGAATTTAGCTGAGATTAAATTGGCTGCAGTATTGATTACATATATTGTATACTGATTAAATCGGCTGCGCTTAGAGTTGAAATGGCACAGAGAGTACTTCACACCAAAGAATGATTTCATTTCGTCCCATTTTGCCGTCGAATTCCCCCTACCCAGATGGAAGGCCCAAAACAGATAACATTTGACCGAAAACGAACTCACGTAAATAGTGCCTACTCCGGATTATGTTGGCCACCCTAGCTGTCCAAACATCACTACTGCCGTTACAGTAGACCATAACAACCCGGCTGTTTAACTTAGGAAAAAGAGATTACCACTGTAGGGCCTTCGATGGGTTCAATACACGAAATGATATCATATAAAAAGACGACCGTATCTGATCCAGCTTTACGCGTTTTACTTACTCAGTATGGCAGCTTCAATCAGTATTTAAATTCACTGTTGACAACAAATTCCTTCGACAAGAAAGCCTAGTAGGCTAGCAATAAACTTCGATTTCAAGCGACTCGCTTGCTAGGATCCAGCGAATAAAACTGCAGCCTCAAACCACCTTGCTTGCGTGACCACTCTGCTTGGACAGGTCGTGTTGGCTAAGTAACCAATACTGAGCCCCCAAATCGGTAAGCTATCAAGTAAGGCGATGATAAAGATCTCAGGGGTGAAATAGGACAATCATCGCAGTACAGAAATCTCTCAGCTGTCGGATGAGGCAATTTTCCACATATTCCCCAGTGTTGCTGGATAACGCTTCGGGAGTCTGGACATCTCAACTGGACAGGCATGAAGTGCACTGATCTGGTCGGAATCTTGGCATTGTAGACAATGCCATTCAGTATGTGAGGAAGTTCATAATTCAGACAAGCCTTGACTGGGTTCCATAGAAGATGAAGAAATAATTAAATAATTAGGTGAATAAGCCTGGATACACTGTCAAGTGTTTGAGACCTATTCGTGGTCGGAAAGGCCAAATCTCCCTGGGGAGAATTCTTCGCGAAAGGACGGTGTTGGTTGGTCCGCGGGTGTTTCACCTAAACGGAACCACACAACATGAACCGAAATAGGAAGATAAAATTGGGAGGAATCATTGCGCCAGCTCTAGGTTTGTTGGTATGCAAACATTAGTCTCCAGAATCTACCGTAAATAGAATATCAGAAGTCCCGTCTTGTTTTTACACGCATGTATACCCTCGACGTGCTTCTGATACCTTGGTTTCGCGGATCAGTTTACGTATCGCAGCAAAATCATAAACCACGGCCATAGTAAGTCGTTCAATTGTAGCACCCTTTCGGTGTCCAACTGCCATGCCAACAGAAGGAAGCAAAAGGGTTGGGATACTGCCAGGTTTCCCAAGCCTAAACAGGGGAAGTCAGGGGACAGAGGTCGAGTTCGAACCACGGACCTTCCGGTCAGTAAATTCGCGCTCTAACCGCTGAGCCATTTCGCTCCACCACGGTCATACAACCAGAGTGCTCAGAAAGTTCTCCGCCGACAAACCTCCAAGCTTGAAGCATTTATTTACAATTTCGGCTATTAAGACAGTAGCAACGTTTAGTTGGTCACTTCTGGTTCATCTGACGGCCCCTACTGAATGAGTGATTATATCCGGCGCCGACACTGAGTGTTAAGGTCAAGCATATTTGCGGTCCTAATTTCACGGACGGCTGAGCACCGCAAAGCAACACTCGCTACAATGGCTCCAAGGAGAAACCGAATTGAGCAAACAGCTTGAGCCGTAGGATGGTATTTATCAGCTTTTATTTTTCGAAGTGTCATTCATATTACAGTAACGAAATATACCATGAAACAGGTTGATCAGGAACTCCTAGTCATGTACCTTATAATAAAATCCACACGAACAGTGTGACGGCTATCCATTACGGTCAACTTTCACTAGGTGGTGTTCAAGCATTCACTGCAGAGATCGAAGATGCGGTAAGGTCAGAGAGGAATCAAGCAGTTAACCTGTTAACTATTACCTGAGTTTGGAAGGACCGGACAATACCTTGTAGAACAACTGTGCAGATGGCCAGCAGCACGAGCAGCCGGGTATGCAGAACGGGGCGAAACGTCTCCGTGGTTAGAGAGTGAATTTACTGACTGGAAGGTCCGTGGTTCGAACCCGACCTCTGTCTCCCGATTTTCCCTGTCTAGGCTTTGGCAACCTGCCAGTACCCCAGCCCTCGTGCTTCCTACTGGTGGTGTCGCAGCCAAGCACCAAAAAGGTGTTACAACTGGACGATTTTTTGGGTATGCAGTTCAGTAAAGGAATGCCAAGTGGTCTGAATGTCAACAGTATTTAAAGCAAGTTGATTTTTGAAACAAGCTGGTATGGTTGATGAAAAATGGCCAGACCCTCATGTTTGCAAGACCACAGGGCACGTGAGTTCCATAGGGTTGACGAAAAAAATTCAGAAAGTCAAAAGCCAGCTACGATGTAATCGTCATTGCTGTTATAAAATCCTATATTCCAGCGGAATGGGAAATAACGTCCCGCATACTGCAGATTCTAGTTAATATAAGATATAATTACTCATACTACTGGGCTTGTTGTTTTTCTGCTTGAGAAGAGGGCCAAGCCAACGTCACTTGGAATTACCGCAGCGCTCGAAACAAAAAATTAGTTCAGCGTGAACGAAGTTGGTGGCAACCATGGGGAGTGCCCCACTAGCGGAGTTTTGTACAGACACATTTCGCAGCGCTGTTAAGTGGTGTGACTATGTAGCCTTCCAACCTCGGGATTTTCCAGCTCAAACTCAACATTGTACCGTTGTAAGGCACCCGCATTCCCTATCCGGTGATTGCGATAATACGGTTCAGTTGCAGGAAGAACAAATATTCCACGACTTCACGATACGATTGCGCATGGCAACTCAGTAGTTGTGGAACAGATGGATCTGTCGACTAAGTACTCGTGAGCCTGGATCACATTCCCCACAATCACAGACAGGTGTCAGGTTCGATGGACATTCTGCACCAAACGGTCCATAAATGCACAACCCAACGATTGCTAGGCCATTAGGATATCCAACCCCTACACCATATTGTCCATAGTCAATTTAAGAGTCCGACTCTCTGACCGATGTCCTTGCTAGAATGATGCAGAGACAACTTGAACTCCAGTTTCCCCTACTCAACAACCCAAAAAAATACGCAAGGTCCACAGCTGTGTGAATGCACTCACATGGTTCGCTGTAGGCGCACAGCCATTCACAGGTTTACAAAAGCGAATAATGGAAATAACATGTTTAATGAATCTGATAGAAGAATAATGCAGATTTACAATGGGAAGCTGAAATGAAAAAAAACATGGAAACAGTACTTTCTGAGGTGAGATAGAAAGAAACTACAGCTACTGAGTGACAGAATTGTTCTTCGTTCAAATTCAGTCAGTGAAATGAAGGTTTCACTCTCGATGGATAATGTTGAGGCTTGACATTGGCTTTCCTGACAGAATGCCGAATGCTGGAAACCTATCCTCAGGTCGACTACTAAGGATTCTCACTAACAGACACGAGAAACGAATCTCCTTGACTGAATAAGTGAACTACGCATTGGAAAATGGTACCCGCAGAGACGAATTCTATCCTTCCGTCAAATGTTTCGTGAAACAGTTCGACAGGGCGAAAAATCGGGTGAGAATACTCACTTGATGTGCAAAAATGGACGTCAATACTTGATTTCTGGCTCCTCCTCCGACAGCCACAGTTGCAAGTGTTCAGTCATCAGTTCTCGAATCCTAGCTGGTCGGCCTGGGTTAAGCCAACCGTCGACAGGATCACACACGGTGCGTTCCGGCTTTTCTGCCACGATGGCCTGTACCTCCGGGATATCAATATCTGATAAGCAGATCAGCATTTGCTGGGCCGTTGGTAGATGGTCACGTGAAAAGCTGTAGCCAACCTGATAAAAGAACCAGATCGGGGGAATAAGACATTACCAAACGGGAAGTAGGCTCAAAACTGCATTCACACAGTGAGAGAAACCCAAATGGACTGGCTTATGAGCGACTTAAACGGGTTTCTTTGGAAAACGCCCCGCGTTCGAAATAAAAACTTTGTCAAAGAATGACCAGACATGAAGGATATGAAACTTGTTACAAAATTTGGTTAGTTTGAACTCAGAGGGAAAGCGTATCAAAAACGCTAGGAGTAACCGTTTTGGCAAGTAGTGATGATGCTTTACCCTGAAGGACGCGTTTGAAAAGGTTGTGTACATCCCGCTCATTAAACGGTTGACGGTGATCGTCGATGCATTATTTGATAAGGTCGATGTAAGTAAAGAACTTCTAAAAGCATACTCACCATGTACAGTGGCGTAAAGTGTCTGATTTCTGTGGCTTAACCCCTATGCGCTCGGGTAGGTTAGCTCTGCGCTACCCTCTGCGTCACACAGTGAGGTTGAAGGATCCACATGAAACCCGTGGAAAGAATGTTTCCAGTCCCAACAAATGGAAGGCGCTACTTCTCTGTACGCAAACTGACTAGTAAAAAAGGATAAAAAGACACGTCTTCTGCGTGTTGGAACTCCGAAAGTGAGGACTATCACGATCAAACATGCTAGCGAGGGGGTCCAAAAGGCGAACAGGTCCCGTTACTGAAGAAACCAGATGGTACGAGATAAACCTCGTTTCTCCCAGTGTAACTGGCCTGCCTGATAGGGAGCAGTTGAGAGAAGCTGGTTCTAGCCCAACTTTCTACTGGAATGAAACAGTAAAAGCAAGGCTCCACTGAGTGGCCGTAATCTCACTTCTCACTTTTGCCTCCTGTTGATGGACGAATGTGGTATGTGGTTTGCGACAGAATGACGCACAAATAGGCACAGCCATCCGGTGAACAAAAACTGTTGGCTTGAAAACCTGCTCCGAAAGCCGGCCATTCGATATGGTATAGCAAGTTGTTGCTGTGGAAAAATACATTTGATCACACTGGCGAAATAAACTAAAAATATGTTGATTACATCCTTTTCATGCGGCGATGGTCAGAAAATGTCCCAGCCAAATATCTCGCTAGAAATCCAAAGCCTTGAAGTGAATTTAGTCACTCAGGGGTTCCGAACTGCAACGTGAAACCTGATCTGTTGCACAACTCTCCGTTTGGACACCCTAACAACAAGGGAAGAGTGGTGCATCATTGGTATGGTGTTGTTCCTAGCAAAGACAAGACTCACATGCAAACTACCCGACTCTACGTCAACAGCATCTTCGGCCATTTCGTTGGCGTAATCCATCTCCAGGTCACCCTCCATATCGACCTCGGCGTCCGACTTTAGAGAAGTCGATGACTGATTCTTCGTCTGTGTTTGGGGAGCATCACTCAACCAGTGAAGACTTCCATCTGGCCTCCGCCAGTTCAGTCTTCCACGTCTGGTTTTGTTCGAAGACATCGAAGAATATCGGATGTTTCGCTCCAATATTTGACGAATAAGAACGTGTGATTTGATGCGGAAATCGATCACCTATAATTAAAGCAAAAAGTTATTTCGCCACTGTGACGTACTCCCCCCCATTATGTTATCCGAAAATGAGAGCCATGAATAGGAGTTTGAAGGCTAACCGCGGTAAACAGCGTGAGGACTTCCAGCTCTGAAATCAAAAGCTGATGAACGTGATCACGAAACCCTACTCGACTCGTTGGTAAGGTTGGTAGCTACCACGTCATACTCTAAACATTTGAGTTCATAATGGCAACTCCGTTGGGGGTAGTGGTTTGAATAGGAAAGAGAGGCGCCAAAACCATATTACCATATATTAACCGTTTCGATCGTCTCACTTTTGATACCAGTGCGCAATTCGTTTTCATCTCTAGCTAGGCTAGCGATTATCCACTGTTTAGTTCGAAGTTTTTTATTTCAAAAAATTTTGGAAGGCAATCACTACAGCGCCCTAGACAATTGCATGCTGAAGTGATCATGCGAGGGACGACTGAGAGGTACAATTGTAGAGGCCCAAAAATGCTGCATACTAGAATGTTAACAAATTGATCTGTGGGTTTAATGGAAAATATCAGCTACAACGCCATAGGGTCTTATGCATCCTGTTACCAAGCTTGCAGTCAACCGAATTTCACCGACTTCACGCTGTTGTGGCATGAGAACTTCAGGCAAAAAAAGGTTTGCGGTCGCACGCTGCTACCAAAATACTGCGGGAAGCGACTATCTGAGTTTGATGAAGATTCCCCTGTCATGTGACGACTGTTATTAGGCCTGTAGGAATCGATCCTACGTCTGAACTATCTCAAAGAAACTAGTAAACCAGACAGAAAGGAGAATGTTTCAAGAAAAATACCAGTTTGAAGCCGTGTAGAGGAAAAATACTCCACTGGTTAGACAGGGCTGACCTAGCGGGTGGGATTGACAACACAACAGCTTGCAGCCGTGAATTTGGTTGGCTGAAAAACGAAAAACACTGGTTGGCCAACCGAAATCCGACTTACAGAATGAATGACAGACATTACAAGCGATGGGTGATGGCAAGTAGATAACAATGAGTAAATACCAGCACGGTTTGAGAAACACCAATTTTAGTAAGCATCAAACGTGAAGAATCTGTGACCTTCACAAACCTGATAAAAACGCGCCTCTGGGTCGGTGCGAGGGTCGTAGCCATATCGAATCCAACTGCGACTCCAAGGTCCCCGTACCATGTAATAGGCGAAGCATATGATAGCACCTTTGTAGAGAGCCGATCGAAGATTTGTAGTGACACTTTTGGCAATTGCGTTTCGAAGCCAGATCGGACGACCTTTAAACAGCTACAGCAAATGTACATATTGTGGTTCAAGGAAAGCATGGTTGGTCATATACAGAATTGAAAAAACAGTCGTCATTCCCTCTATTGAATACATAGATTTTACCACGATACAGATGGCTAAAATGCCAGCTTGTATAAGGAGGTATTGAGATATTAAAGGTGATTTCGGAGTGTCGTTAAGGTTACATTGGATGAGATCAACCAGTTAGCACCCGATGCATCGCATTACACTGCACTGATCACCAGCTCTGTTTCAACCGAAAATTCGAGGTTCCCGCGGTTCTTTACCCTCGAACAACAAATTCTCAGGTACTCCACAACTCTACAATGAACTAAATAATCTGGCCTCTAGCGGAAGATTGAAAGTACTATGTACAAAGAAAGCAGGATAGATAAGTATTAGCCAATGCATAACCGATGACTCACCTTATCAAGCTCGAACAATACTTTGTGTTGATCTGGATAATGCGCCATTAATCGTTCCACCGCTTGTGGATGAGGAGCCTCGGGAGTGGGATCTTCGAAGCTTATAACACGGCCGAAGTTGTGTCGGGGTTTCCTGACTGGAGAAAGGAAGTGCCGGTGGAAACAAAAATGTTGAATTGGACAGAAACAGATGTGCCGTGATTGTAAGCAGTCCCGAAAAAGTATAGGCACGGAAAACGTGGATATAACCCACAGAGGCACTTATCCGTAAAAATCACAAGTAAAGGCAAGTTGTCGAACAACACTTGTATCCGAAGCACACAGAGAGAAATCCAATACCTTCAGGCGAGGAGCACACTATACGCTGTCGGGATAATTAGAGTTAGGGTCCCTGGGTTGAAGGGTATCCTTGATAAACAAGCAGTGTCGAGATGGCTACATTAAAAAATTACCATAAGACTACGAGTTTATCAACATCATGTGCAGCAGCACACCGGCAGTAAACATCTATGCTGGGACCTTGTCCGGGCCTAGCTTCCATGCCAACTTAAAGGGGGTACGACGGCTGGGATACCGCCAGGTTACCCTAGCCTAGACAGGAGCAGTCGAGATTCTGAGGCTAGGTTCAAACCCGAGGGGTTTCCGGTCCATAAAGTGCAACCTTAGCCACTGAGCTATATCGAGTCCCACTGAGCGACCTCGAGTCTAACACCAATGGTGCCACGGGAAAAGAAAAAAAGAAAATGCTGTGGGTGAATTGCGGTTACTTGATACAAAAAACCTATGAAGTTAGTGAAATCACCCAAAGAAAAGGTACTCAAACCGCTGAACTATGAAGAATGGTTCAAGTGTAAGTGAAAGGTGCAGCCTCACTGCCGCTTTGATTGGCTCAAAACTCTCATGAACTTTACGCAGCACAAGCCCTATGGCATATGACAGACAAATCTAACCTGAGGATACAGGCTGAGAAGAAAAGTAAGTTTTCCACTCTGTTAGTTAAGTCCGTAGTCCGCAAAGTCTCCGGTAGGGTAAGGCTGACCAGGTGGAATCCAGCTGAGCGAACGTGGAAGTCCTACTTACTCCGTTGGACATTAGTCGAATCACGGCTATCGTTTGCTCACCGTGATTATTTTCCAACACGCATCAACAACTAAGTACTTCTTGAGAAATCATCGACGAGCACGCGTAGTAGTACATCAGCAATAGGTATCAATCCGTTTCACTCGCTATCGGGTTCAGTAGCTGTCACAAACTTGGGTGAAGATTTAGAAACCGCTATATCCATATACAGAAGAGATTCGCAAGGACTCATACCTCCATCATAAACAATAGTTGAAATGTCAAGGTTGATGTGAATTGCTAGCTCACAGCGAAAGGTGATGGGGACCGTAATTAATTTCGCCGAATCCGTTAGAATTTCCACCCATATAAAAAATCGTTCAGCTGTAGCACCCTTTCAGTGCCTAAATGTCATGTGAACAGGAGGAAGCATGAGGGCTGGGATACTACCAGGTTGCCCGAGCCTAGACAGGGAAAGTCGAGAGGCCTCGGTCGGGTTCGAACCACGGACCTTCCAGTCAGTAAATTCGCGCGCCAACCACTGAGCCATCTCGCTCCATATAGCTGACCTGTGTCAAGAGACCAGTGGATGAGAATCAATAAGGCCTCATTGACTTTACTCCTGAGATGAATTTCGCTGATGAAGTATGAAATGAACGTTGACGCAATAGTCATCCATTAATGAAATTAACGAACATGGTGACACCGACTGTTTTCAACGCAGAATAATAAGCAATCACCTCAGATAGACTTCACAATTATGACAGCCGCTGATTCATGTCTTGTTGTGTTGGACAACAATGCTGAATAAGAGCTAGTCGTATGTGTGGCTTGCCGGTGAATGGCGGGCACAAACCTGATTTAAAGCCATATTTCTTCATTGTTCAATCACAGTGCACCAGGCAGCTGACAAAATTAAGGATTACAACTGCACTAGAAGACTACGAAATTCACACTTCAGAATATACCTTTTGTAACTAGTACTGCGTAACCACTACAAATGATGGCGAACTTCCCCCAACACACATGCCAAGATATAAGGGAGAACACACCTAAAAAGGCATGCATATGTTGCCGAAAACGTCCAACCTGAGGACACAATAACACAAAGCAAGGACAAAGGTTACATTACTGGGGGTTGTGTAAAAATGACTGAGGTCTTGTGGGTGAGTGTTCTACCTAGAGGGACCCTAGATGGCTCGCTGTTTCAGGCCTCTGGTTTCGGTTGCCGGTTTGTAGCTTTGATTCCCTTCCGTATTGAGCCTGTATTGTGTCCATGTCATATGGTATTGTGTCGTATTGTCCAGCAGTGTACGGCATCATATCTGAATGAATCGGCTCAACAGTCCAAACTCCGTTAACCTAGCAACAGTGTTAGAAGCAACGTTTGTAACCCTCGTTCTACAATCCAAACTGATTACTGGACAATACCATCCAATTGTATGTATGCGCCTATGAATGTCTTGAAGGGCGCGGGCCATCGAGCTATCTATCCGCCGCGCACACTGTGGGCTTCAGCCATTCAGCTGACCAGAATGTTGTGGGTAGTTTCCGAATGCGTAGAACTCACAGTTACATCACTCGCGTTTGAACAGTTATCCTCTTGTCCTAGCGCAATTATTCTGGTGACCATTATGACAACTACGAGTCATCACTTTGGCACGCCGGTCTTATTGTGCCTGATATACAGTGGATAAAATGCATTCAACTGGTCGCGCGCACGGATCAGTGCACGCAGCATGTGGTACTATCTATCCTGCGCGGGGGTCTGTCAAAAAGTTGGGTGTAACAGGAAATCTGGGGACGGATGACAGCACACAAGGTGTGTATAATTTCAAGTAATCGGACCACTGCCAGTTACCGTCAGGTCTGCCGAGATGAAGTCACATTTCCCAACAGGCATAGGTGAATGAATGACTATGAAGCAGCTGACTAATAACAAAGAAGCGATCAGGCAGATGAGTCATTACATACCCAAGTTGAAAGTCGTTTTGGACTACGTCTAGCACGCGCCAAACATCCCTCAGGGTAGCTCCGAGTACGTGATTCTTAAAGCTGATCGACGTTAGTTTTTGACTAAAAATGATGCAAGCATGAATTTAGCCTTTATTTTGCACGCACGAGCTTATGCATTCGCCGTGTAACCCTTGCTCATAAGGTTCAGTTAACTGGCGTTTCTCTCTGAAACCGAAGGTCTTAAGGTTAAGTAGTGAACTCTGAAAAAAAAGTGCGCAAAAAACGAGGGTCTAATCCCGATATTTTGTCCATGGTTCCTGTGAACCACTGTTACTTGGTGCAGAAAAAAAAACTATTTTAGGCAAAATTGCTGCTGCTACCTGGATTTTTTTCGTTCGAAGTTCGGTTAAATATTTACGCCGTGATGAGATCAGCAAAAGGGAACAAGAGAGGATAAGCACATAAAACGAGAGGCTCAAGTGGCTGCAGAAAAGTTATTGATGGACGATTATTAACTTCAAGCCGGTTGTCATCAAAACCTGTGGTCTAGTGCACCACTTTCAGCATAGAAACCAGGGAATTTCTCCTCTTTCGACGTTACTTTAACAAAAGGTTTCATCCATCCATGAAAACAGTGATCAAACTCATCCAAGATTCTGCTGCAAATGAGTGACGAATGCAGTGTGATTGAAACGTAAGACGAAATTGATTCACAATCTGTATCACAGCTTGAACATGAACAACTGCGGCCTCCATTTTCCACTGAAGTCTCGAAATTTCTTCGACTGAGAATCACTGTTCCTGTTCGATAGCAGAACCATTCCGAATTCGTCAACCAAGTATTGATAAAGAGACCCTAATTGTTTCAAACCGCATTATTAGTTACAGCAAAATATGTAGGTTGCTTTCGTGCTAGTTGAAAAACACCCTCTTCAAACATCATGACATTTGTTGGAAAGTGGATTACTTCTCCAATGCCATTGGCCACGATGACGTTTCGCAAATAACGTACAAGAGCACCAACATACGCTATGAGTGGTGGGTTATTTCAGCACCACACCTAGACGCCTGGTGTTGTCGTGCTAGCAGCACGCCGGCTATCTTCCCATCACATTTTTTAACATGACTATGTGTGCATGCCCACGAAAAATTCAAAAAGTGGAATGGGTTGCTTGCCTCTGTGGGGTCAAAATGTGGAAGTGAACAAAGTTGTCAGGGTCGATCGAGTGACCTACTGGTTTGGGCCTCAACTACTAACTAGTATACCTCACGCGATCATTCAAATAAACAGCTTAAATAAATTGTAAACTTACTGACAGGAAGGATATGACATTTCTCTTCTAATTCTATATACTCGGAAGACCGATGCCGTGGTGCAAAATTGTAGTTGAATGGGAGATCCTGTCGGGAGAATTGGATAGGCGGAAGGAAGAGCGGTGTGTTCTTTGAGAGGAACGAGTCCAAAGTAGTGGTAGGTTCTTTTATGATCAAATCATCGTAGAACACACGGTACTTATCATCACCTTTTAGNACGAGTCCAAGTAGTGGTAGGTTCTTTTATGATCAAATCATCGTAGAACACACGGTACTTATCATCACCTTTTAGGGTTGAGGGTGGTGGGGGTGTCTCGTTGTTTACGCGCTCATAAGGACCGTACTGGAAATCTACCATAGCTAGAGGGTAAAACAGATAAAGAGCATATGTTTTGCAACTGTGATTATATCAGGTAACGGTCACTTGCGCTCTTTCTCACACACAACAAATAAACACCGAAACCGTACAAAATAGTGTCCAAACTAGCGAGCTGAGTTTGTTACTCAACAATAGCAGGGGTGTTGCTATAACATAGGCTGAAGTTTAATGCTAGAAAGCCAGTACAGAATTTTCCAACATTTGTTCAATCAGTCAACTGTTTTTCAACTATTTACTAAATAGAGTTTCCAAAGTCCCCCCTCAAGGGAAATTCCGTTTGTAAGCGATAAGGAGAGTTGGAACTCAGAAGAAATCCGTATTCCAGAATGTGGGGGTTATAACGGCGGACAAAATATGAAACACTCGTTCCGATTTTGACGATGGCGCTCCTCGTTGAATCACCATAGGCACTACTTCCGGCACCGCGCCTGCCGCTAGAAATTCAGGTAAGAGAAAACGCTGAGAGCGTCGAAATTTCCGCACGTTCTACTGGTACCATCTTAACTTTCAGTTCTGAAGAGCCGTTCAGCCAGTTTCATGATCTGTCGTATGAAGAGTTTGGCGGAAGTTCGCTTTTTTAAGCGCACTACTGAAAGGATTTGTGCATAACACACTATCCTGAAGTATCGGCTGTACAACAAAATGAAGTGTTCAGTTACTGAGTGTTTAAGGTTCACACCAGTGACATATAAGCGCGGCAACGTTAGAACAGTTTTACAGGGCAAGGAACGCCCCATCTCCATGTGTTCTAGAATATTTGACACCCAGAATAAACCGACAGCTAACACGTTGCCGGCCAGTCGCCTGGAGCCCAGCAACATCGATAAGCTGAGTTTATTTCGAGTAAAGGTTGCCTCTGGAAAAGAACTGTTTTGATTGACATGTGAAATGTTACTAGGTTGAAGCATTAGTCATGAGCATGTTCAGGAAATCAGTCGGTATGAAAAATCCATCTGAATTATCCGTGTTAGAAAATCCTTTAGCGCTACTGCAGGAGATATTATCTCCACGAATTATTGTGCGGCCAAAAAAACAACAGCTACAGGAGTGGCCAACAGCCTGCGACCTCGACCTCGTTTCGCTTGCTCCATAAGGCGACCCAGAAAAGTTTTGTTCATTAAAAAACTACAAACTAAGAATCAGAAACTGACTGTCAGTTATAGTTTGCGTAAAAAGTTGTGAGTCCAAGTAAATCAAGCTAGAACAACCGAAAGATTCCGGACCACGCATTGTTAGCCCTTTTCAAGTATAGCGTGCGGTTCGAGACGATAAAGATGGTAAAAACAATTGGACAACGTGTCGAAAGCCGTGAGTAAGAGCACCTTCAACGAAATGCAGAACTCCAGAAGCAGATAAAAGGGTCCCTCTGTATTCTGTCCAACTAGAAAACGTAAGCAACCATAACTAACCTAAAAGTAACAATGATTGCTTTCGAAACTGATTAGACGACAATTTTTAGTCTTGTTTAATTCCGGTTTCGTTTCTGGTCAGAAAACCTGGAAGTAAGCAGTACCTTAAGGTAACTAGCTTGAAATCTAAGTAGTGTCTTTCGTAAGGAGAGTGTTCTACTTTCGTCCTTCTGATCGTTTAAACGAGCGCTTCCGAGCCGAACGACAGGTACTCTGTCAGAGCAAGGCTCACATCAACTAACAGATCACTCGTCTAGTTCCACGTCCAACCCACTTATTGTGTACAAGCAGCTGTCTAACCCGGCCCGCCAATTAGCCCCATTCATGACCAGACGACAATATCTGCCGCGTTCGCGTGTTTCTCAGTTTATGCTTTGATAATAACAATATTAAATGGGCTATTCTCACCGTGTTGAGGGGTCGATTGACCCGTCCTGACTGTGACAAATTAATAGCCCAATTATGGCCCAATTACGCAGTTTGAGACGCCTCTATAATATATCTGTGGCCTTCAATGCGTAACTTACCTACTTCCGACTGTGTAATAAGACAGAGGTTATTTAAAGTCTGTAAACTAGTCGGCAAAACCCTAACCGATGCTTGGGCCTGCGACCGTCATTTTTCCTATCCTCCGTGAATCGAATTGGGCAGTCGCAATCAGGATACCTTTTATACAGTAGTGATTGCACAAGACCGGACGAAGTGAACGGATTAGGCTTATGAGTACCGTAAAGGAGCTTCGACTTACTTTCAAATGTGTACATCCGAGGTACACGGGCAATGACGGTGGGAACCAACTTCGTCTCACCTGTGAGGCGGTTTTTGTACTGCTTCACGGAGAGCACCAGACCAGTAACTTGAGATGGGTCGCCACAAGCTGGTTTAGCAAAAATCATCTTGGGACGAAAGCGTAACCTCAAACGAAGTTTTTCCGAGTCAAAAACCTGGTCAGGAACATGATGAATGTGAACAATAATTGTCTTATGAGTGGAAAATTGGGAGATTACGGGTGAGATCACAACATTCAAGCTGGGACGCCTTTATTCAGCTTTAAGAAAATGACATCGGTCGCAATTTGGAGGGACTAATTATTAGAACAATGGTGGCTCTTACAGATGGAACAGATTCATCCGATCGCTTTACAGAATTTATCAGTAGGGCGCAATCCACATGAGATGGAAGACATCGACACCTCGACAAGATGAACTAAGAGGGTTATCAATTATTGAGTTGCCCAAAACTGATGGAAAATATTGGGAAAAAATTGCTGAACACAAGGCATAAACCCCCAGTTCTACTGAAGACTCCATCATAGAGTCAAGCCACACGAGCTTGCTCAAAGCCGTCATTTTTTAAGCTTTGTATGGCTGTTTACCATAACTTACACTTCATCTTACTGGGCTATCTACACAATGTACGTATGAATACCAAGAGAGGCGCAGCTAACTAGGTAACGATTCCAATTTTAAAAATATTTAGACACTAAGCTACTTACATAAAACCGTATTTTCGGTGAGGTTAACGAAAACCTACCCGGAGCACTTCGTCCAACCCACCAAGCATGTCAAGGAGCTTTCCGTCGTTGTTCACTATTGCCGGAACTTCTACGGCAAACATCTGCTTCTGAGGAACTTCAGAGTTCATTTTTGTGTGGAATCAGTGTTGGTCGCCAACTTGCTAAAATTAGTCAAATAGGGTCAGAACTTATACGTCATGGGTATCAACACACACAGGTCAAATAAGTTCATGTTGCCAAACGGTGTTGGAACGCAACACCGACACGAAAAGTATCTTAGTCGAAAGGAGGTCTCGTTCTTCAGTGAGGCTACTGATTTCAGTAACCTGTTCAGTTATTCTACAAGTGGTAGAGTGACGAAGCTTCCGGTCTTTTTAATTCAGCGACC